TCGAATACTGAACAAAACTCAATTTGGTTGAGATGAAAAAAGTATTAGCATTACTATGCAAATTTTAATAAAGTCACTCTGTAATTTACAAAACAAAATGTCAACAGATATATATATAGATCAGTTAGATATAAATTATCTAATGGATTTGAATAAAATAAATATATTAAGTAGGCAGGTTGGATCCTATGGTTTTACATATAATATTATATTATCTGTGGTTTTAACAAACCTTTAAGCTTTATCGACAATAAGGTAATTTTTGTAGTGAGAAGAAAGAAATCGAGTTTGTAAATGTAAATTGACATTCTTAGATCTGTACGCCATTGGCCTAACTAAATATGACTAAAGGTCAGAGGTCAGCGATGAACATACTTTAGTATAACAAAACTTGTTTTTTTTTTGGTTAAACAACTGTTGTCTGTAGTTTATATTATAAGTATTGTATTATAGCTATATTCCGCGGGCAAGTTCGAGAAGGAGATACAAATAAAACGGCTATCCAGAACCGGTTAGCCTTGTAACGTACGCTCGTGCCCATATCCTTCTGTATTTTGAATTCATAACTGACTAGAATTTGGCTAGTTGCCGTATTACCTATCCACATAGGTCAATAGCGATGTTTTCTCCTTGAATACTTTGAAACTTAAAAAGTATTAATAACTAATTGAGCCCGCGACTTTGTACATATGTAACATTTTTGATTGTAAATTGATTGTAATAGACTAAACTATAGGTTAATGAAGCTTACCACAATACATTTGAGGAAATTTCATTCAAATTGGATAAACCGTGTCTGAGATTAACGCGTACAGTCAAACAGACAAAAATTCTGACAGATGACATCGGGACATGATTTCGGATTGTATTTTCGTTGATAATTAATATAATTGCACCCAATATTAGTATTTCTCATATATCATGTACAAACAGCAATTGATTACATTTTTGTTATATGTAGGTATAGGTAAACATTTGAATTTAAAATACTAATATAAACATTAAATAGAGTAATGGGCCAATTATCTTATTCTCCAAATCGTGTAGGATTCCTTCTAAGAAACCGTCACCCGTTCAAAAATTGAGACTTCTTACGAGAATTACGAAAATAATGGAAATGTCTATATTACAGTGAGCTCGTCGAATTAGATAATATGTAAACGATATCGCATAACATACAATACACGATAAACTCTTTCTTCTTTGAAGGTTATGAATTGTACCAGTGTTGTAGGCACTTAATGAATAAATAACGATTATTTTTAAAACTAGTATAATAAGGAAGCCATGACTTCAGCGATACGGCTATGGCAACAAAAAAAGGAATTCAATAGCAAAGTTTATTAATAAACAAAAAATACTTAACGAGCATTCAATATATTTTTCTTTGGTCCCCGTTGTAATATATCTAAATTTACCTTTTCTTAAAGGTTATAATACACCAAATTTAGCACAATGGATTTGATTAAGCGTCCGTTATTTTGAAAATATTTCTTCGATATTCAAAATATTTTTATAAAATAGATATACTTTATATCTTCTAGAAGTACTATTTCTAGTTTAATTACGATGTTAACGGTGTTTCCATGACTTGTCCAGACAAGTAGTCAGAAATATTAATTAATTCATAAAGTTGTTTTTATTGCCTATATATATATCGAAGTCATAATATCTCAAATTTTTATTTTTTTTTTTTTTTTTATATATCTACTACTTTATAAAACTATACGAAAAAAAACCTTGCTTCGGAATTCCCAGGGAATGGAATGATCTAATACCAGGTAAACAGTGCCTTTTGACCGGAGTCACGGTTTATACGGTGTAACAAAAGCTTTCAGTGACTCAATATCGCACAGGTAGATTTTTAAATATATGACTTTGAGAATATCCCATTATAGACGTTTAAGCGATATCCCTAAACTGAAGAGTTGGCCCATAAATCGTCTGTTTAAAAATAAAAAGATATTTCGTTCCATAATGCGCCATTTTAGTGTTAAAAATCAACGGTACAAATACTAAGTATTGTTAATATTGAAGGATAAATATTGTCGTCATTCCGGGTCTCTCAATAAGTTTCCGGTTTTTTTTTTTAAATTCAAATAAAGAACTATACCTTCAATACAATGAAAAAAGTATTGTTTTTAATTATTGTGAAGCGTGGGAACTGATATTTTGTACTTACATACATACTAGCTAGATACGAGTATATACTCACCTAGCTATTCTAAACAATGCTAGATTTGCATAAGTAATTTGGAATGTATTTAAATAAGTTGCAAATTAAGAACTATACCTAATGGTTACAAGACTACAATAGATGTGCTAGATTATACTATAATATTATAATACTGTTTAATAAATTAATAAATATAACTAAATAGCTAAAAACGTGGTTATCATAATATCTTACTTGTGTCATTATTTAGTACATGCATGGAACTGAATTTCATAAAATTGGATGTCTATTACATAAAACTAATTTATACACAAAATGACTACTTTCTATTACGTTTAATAAATGAATGTATTTAAATAAATTTAAAATAAAAACCTTAAAAATTTTATATTAAACTGTTAAATTTACTTGCCACCCCTGTATACCTATAATCAGTCAAATGAACTGATAGATTGATAATCTAGTCGAAACAATATGTTGAAAATTATTATAATAGTATTTTATTACATTTATTTAGAAATTGTACTGATAGGGCAAAAAATATAATACAAAAAATTTACGTTCATAAGCGGCGAAAATGTTCTACATTAATAATGATTTATGCTTTAATTTCTTATTTTTTGTATATCCATGTTTTTACAGTAGTTAGAACTTTCCAATACCAAGTCGACAATAAAAACCTGCATTGAACCGAACCAGCAATACCGCTGGAATAGATGATAGATCAATAAGTCAATAATGGTACTACGTTCGGGTACCATTACATTACATCATGGATCCGAGCGTTCAAAGATTTCGAGGCTTTCCAATTTGTTGCTTGCTGAGTTTACCGTTGGTCGTGTGATCCTCTGTGAGATTCCGGTTCGCCGTCGAGTCTCCAGAGTGAGCCCCGCAACTGGTGCCCACTTGCGCAAATTGTTGAGAGCGATACAGTGCGTAATCCAGCTACACAAAGTGTACTTTGTTTAGTCAGAGAACGCGCTAGGATTGCAGACCGAATTTGTTGACGCAAATTCGTTGCTGCAATCCACTTGCGACTGTCTTACAGCGTGATCACCTGCCCTTTCAGGGCGGAATTCCCTACCTTTCGGTAGGTTCGTCGTGGGGTTCCAGCCCCCACACCACCCTCTTCCACCCCTCCAGTCCCCTTTCCTAGTACATTACCCTTTCGTCTCGTAATGTCGCAAAGGGGCAAAGCCCCCAGGAAACCCCCTGACAGGGGAGCTCCCCGAACTGTTGTGCGTCGGGATTTAAGGAACCCGACCAAGCTGGTCCCCGCCACTGAGCTGGGGACCTTCCACGCTCGCCCGGCATCCAAGGGCACCCCTTCTGCCCTCGCGGGAAGCGGCAATGATGCCGCCGACCGGGAACCAGGCAGAGGGGAAAGATGCGCGCAACCTGGCCCATCTAAAAGACGTGCACCGCCGTCGCCGACCTCGCCCGCTAGAGGCGACAAACGGAGGGACGTAGAGGAGTCCCCCCCCCCCCGCGACCTTGACCTAGTGAAGGTGCCGCCGACGCCGAGAATCCGGCTTGTGGACAAGGGCTACCAACCCCTACCGTCCCAGTCGGGTACCGTGCGGCGAAAGCCCTCACCCCCTCCGCGCTCACCCTCCCCCCCGCCGGATAGCGGGAGCGAGGAGGAAGGGGAAGACAGGCGTTTTTACGGCGACGTACATGCGTCGCCTGCGACCTCGCCTGAGCCTTCGCCAGCACCCTCGCGTGTGCCCTCGCCGCTACCTCGCTCCTATACGCTAGATAGGGGCGAGTATGACGCCACGTCATATGCGGCACTCGAACCGGTGCCACAATCGCCCGAGCCGATGCTCCCCCCCGTCCCCTCGCCGCGACGACGAACCCCGCCGTCCTTTGCGGCAGTGGTGGCAGGCCCCGCCACCCCAACCCCCGCCACCACGGCTCCAGCCCCGCAAATGCCCTCACAGGGTAAGGTCGCCGATACGGGCGTAGAACCCGCCACAGGGCGAGGCAAATACCCACCCATAGTGGTAGAACGCCTCCCTAACTGGACGCGCCACTTCGACCAGCTCAGGCGCGTCCTGGGGGAGGCTCCAAATGCACGACCCTTCGGCAGTGGGGTCAGATTCCTGCCAAGGACGGACGACGAATTCCGAGCCGTCCAGAGATACCTAATAGAAGCCAGCGAGAAGGACCCAACTATAAGTTGGTACTTCTACAGTCTGGCCTCGGAACTGCCCACCAAGGTGGCGATAAGGGGACTCCCAGCCGACACGCCCAACGAAAAGATTGTGGAGGCACTGCAGGAGAAGGGGTTCGGAGTGCGGCTAGTGCGGGGCATACCCGCGCGTCGCGGCCGCCCCGGCTGCATTTTCCACGCCCAACTCGACCCCATGGACAGGGACGAGCTCACACGCTTGTACGCGACGGATGAGCTCCTGTACATGCGGGGCGTCGTGGTTGAGGCGTGGAAGCCGGCATCGGTGCTGCCACAATGCCACAGATGCCAGGCATTCGGCCATGCATCGGCCAACTGTCACCGGCCTGTAAAATGCGTTCGCTGTGGTGGGGAGCACCCGGCGGCGAACTGCGACAGGCCGCGTGACCAAAAGCCGACATGTGCCAACTGCGCAAAACCTCACACCGCCAACGACCGGAAGTGCCCGGTGTATAAAAGAGAGGCCCGGCAGAGGGGAATCAAGCCCCGTCCCCCCGTCCCCACTGCGTCGTCGACGGCGCCCAAGGCGCAGCAACGGCGGCGCAATAATCCCACCGCGGCGCCTCGTACATACGTCGCCCAGGCTCCCCTCCCGTAATAACGGTCGAGGAAACCGCTGGCGCCAACCTAATGGCGCCGGCTAACGAACCGACGCAACGAGGCGCCGACGCCGGTGCTACGAAAAAGCGCCGCCGCCGAAGACGCGGCAAGAAGAGGCGCGGAGATGAGCCCGTGACGGCATCAACCCCAATCCCCTTCCTACCTGATCCCACCCCAATATTTGCGTACAACGCACCCCCCTCCCTTCCCATGCATGCCGTCCCAAATCAGGGCCCGCGTGCAGCGCCACGTCGCCGCCAGGCGGCGCCACCGGCACACAATGTGCCGAGAGTGGCATTCAAGCCGCCTTTGGCGGACGTAAGACGCGCACCTCCCGCGCCTCCCACATACCCCGCGCCGCGTTCGGCACACGCCGCGCCCGCGCCCTTCACACAAGCGCCCGTCGACAGAGCACTGAACATGCTTATTAGCCTGTAACTACGCTCGCGGCCGGCGCAGATACTAAGTCGGCGGCATTAAATGGATTGGCCAAAATCCAACAGTACACAAATGGCGGGTACTAGCCTGCGCATTGTGTACTGGAACCCCGGGGGAATAAAGGATAAAGTCCAGGACCTCCGTCTCCTAGCTCGCACCCAGGATGTGCACATCATACTCCTGGGTGAAACGAAGCTCACAGAAAAGGAGACGTTGAGGGTGCCTAACTACCACGTGTATAGACGCGACGAAACGTCACCGGCGGGCATTGCGTACCGCGGTACGGCGGTACTAGTCCGTCGGGACGTAGTCCACGTGGAGTTAGAGCGCCCCGAGTTCCGCGTCATGCGCTCCATAGGAGTCAGCATCAACGTCGACGGCGCGGAACTGAAGGTCCTGGCAGCTTACCGTCCCCCGGGACTGGATTTCAGCCCCTCCGATGTCCGGAACGTTCTGGATGGGAGGAGTCCCACCCTACTCATGGGCGACCTAAACGCGAAGCACACGGCTTGGGGTTCCCGTCTGTGCTCGCCGATAGGTCGAAGACTCCTCCAGGATTCGCAGATCCACGGGTACGAGGTGTTGGGCCCAGCGCACCCAACCCACGTACCCTCAAATCCCACACATAGCCCAGACGTTCTGGACATTGCCCTAGTGCAGGCTGTGCCTTGCCCGGTCTTACTGGAGGTGCTGTACGACCTTGACACGCAGCACCTCCCAGTTCTAGCCACGCTTGACCTCTCCATCACCACCACACCGACGAGACCGTCGAGGCGGCGGATGGATTGGCGTGTTTTTCGCGCAGAATTGGAGCATCTACACCTCGACGGCGAACTATCATCGCCAGCGGGTGTCGAAGCCGCCTCCACACTCATAACGGAGCGAATCCGCACCGCAGTGGAGGCGGCAACTACCACAATAAACGTGGCTTCTCGCCGTCGAGAGGAATTGCCACACCATCTGCGCGAAAAACTCGCCCGGAAAAAGAATCTCCGTCGCCTATGGGCCCGAACCCGTTGCCCGCGGGTCAAGCGTGAGCTCAACTGCTTGGCTGCAGAGCTGTCGGAGGGAGTGCGGGATTGGCGTGGAGCCGCCTGGGATGGTGTCATATCCCGGGCTGGCGAACACGATACCGACCTGCACAAACTCAATCGACAGCTCACCAATGCACGACTCCCCGTCTGCCCGTTGCTTGACGAGACGGGCAGACGTCGTTACGCAGCCCAAGACCGGGCAGAAATCCTGGCACAGCACTTGGAGGGGCAATTCACGGCCAATCCAATCGCCGCCGACGCACCCAGCACTGTCGTCGAGCACCACGAGCGAGTCGTACGTCGCGTATGCGATTTCCACCGCTCCGTCGCCGGACGTAAGCGAAGTGAGCTTCGTTTCGCCCGGCGAGGTAAGGCGGCTCGTCAGCCGCCTGCCGAAGCGCAAAGCGCCCGGAGCGGACGGGATCAGCACCGCAGCGCTCGCACAGCTGCCCCGTAGAGCCCTAGCGTGTCTAGCGAGGCTCTACAACGGCATACTCCGGACCGGCCACTTCCCTACCAACTGGAAGTTGGGTAGAGTCATAGTCCTCCCGAAACCCGGCAAGGACAAGCGCCTGCCGGCAAGCTACCGGCCCATCACTCTGCTCTCGCACGTAGCAAAGTCGTTCGAGCGCCTCCTGCTCCGCCGCCTGAGACCGACTCTGTCGCCTCGCGACGAGCAGTTCGGTTTCAGAGGCGGACACTCGACGACTTTGCAGCTGACGCGCGTGCTCCACCATATGGCTGTCGAGCACAACCGCGGCCACTACACGGTCGGCGTATTTCTCGATATAGAGAAGGCGTTCGACCGTGTGTGGCACGACGGTTTGGTGTCAAAGCTGCTCGACACCAACACGCCGTCAGCATACGTGCGAGTAGTGGACTCGTTCCTCTCGGGCCGGAGCTTCTATGTTTCGGTCGAGAACTGTGACTCTACCACACGCCCAATTGCCGCCGGACAGCTGCATTTCGCCAGCGCTCTACGCGACGTACACAGACGACATCCCCACCTTGAGGGATGAGCTCCAAGAGGGAGAGAGGGATGTCGTCCTCGCTCTTTTCGCCGACGACAGTGCCTTCCTTACGTCGTCTCGCCGAGCCTACGCAGCCGCTCGCAAAATGCAGCGGCTGTTGGACCTGCTCCCCGAGTGGCTGGATAAGTGGCGTACCACCGTTAACGTGGGTAAAACGGTGGCGCTGCTTACCCGCCCCGGGTGCAAATGCCCGCCGCCCCTCTTACTTAGAGGCCAGCCCATACAGTGGGAACGCACAGTGCGTTACCTAGGGGTAGAAATCGACCGGTCGCTGCGTATGAAGCCGCAGGTGGACCGGGTTGTCACCCAAGCCAAGGCCGCGCGCGCTATGCTGCGACCGGTCTTACAATCCAGGCTGCAGCTGCGGACGAAAGTAGGCATCTATAAGACCTACATTCGTTCGCGGCTCACATATGCCGCCCCCGCATGGTACGCACTGTGCTCGGCCTCACAGCGGCGGAGACTGCAGGTCCAACAGAACGCCGCCCTCCGTCTGTGCACAAATGCCGGACGGTACGTCCGTAATGACGTGATCGCCCGCGACCTCAAGGTCCCATCGGTGGAGCAGTTCGTCGTCCGGTTGACGCGCGCGATGTTCTCGCGCGCGGACATCGGGCGCGAAGCGCACCTGCGCGACCTCGCCCCTCTCCACGCGCGCCCACCGGACGCCACTCGCGCGCTCCCGCGCGACTTACTCTCCACCGAGTGATCACGTCATTTACGTGACGTGGCGGCGTTAAGCCGGCTCGGCGAGCGACTTATAGAGTCCCACTTACACGACTCCCTCAGCCGGCTGCTGGGAAGCAGCCGGCTTCCGGCTGGCCGGCAGGCCGGCCGGTAAACGAACGACGCTGGGGTGGTATACCCCAGCAGTATGCCCGGGTAAAGAGCGTCAGCTCGGGGCCCGTACCCAGCGGTCCATTTCCTTAAGAAAGGATCAGCGGACGACCCGATAATAAAAAGATTTCGAAGTGAAATGAAATCCGTATATCTATCTATGCGGATATGGAAGGTTAGGAATGTGTTTTGATCATGCGATACTCTTATCAAAGTACTGCTTTAAATATGTTTATAACCGACTTCAACGAGAAGATATTAGTATTTAACAGTATAGCTGTGGGGTGACGTGTGTATTACGGTTACTCTGTTATATCACCCCCTTCCAGATTATTAAATGAGATAAAGATATTTAACGTCCTTGTGATACAATCTATCTTGACATTAAAATTTCATTAAAATCTGAACGAGTCAGCCTGTACCAGTCATATCAGTTACATTGTTAATTGTCCGACGATATTATTGGACAATTCACACAGTGCCATCTAGTCCTAAGGTAAGCAGAGCTTGTGTTATGAGTACATTTTTTGTAAATGCATACATAATATACATAGGAGACACCCAGACCATTACAAATATTATATCACCGTTTCGGAACTAGGTTTAATCATTTTGAATAGACACAGTTATGTATATCCTGTGTCATATACTAATTCTGTTAAAATCTAAGTTTTTTATATGGCTTCATCTATTCAAGAAGAATTATAAGAAACTGCACTTAGCTAAGTTTGATTGTAGGGGTCAGTACTCGAGAACCCTTCTTCGTCATCAGTCTGCCATTAGTTCTCGAAGCTACATGTCCATTCAACTTACTGCTCTTTCTGATTAGAGTGGCCATTTTGGTTTTAGCTTCAGATATCGTCATTTCAGATTATATCACTGGAAAGCTAGTATAAACGAGGTACTGCATGAGTTAACTTTTGAACTTAAATTATTATAATATATTTTACACATATATATAAATAATAATATAAATTGCTTTCAACTTCGCCGCGTAGAAACTGAAACCACAAATTATACAGAAATATTGAACTACAAATTTCATAGAAAATTATGATAGCCGTCAAATTAGAAAACTAGATCACCGCTGTACACGACTTAATATAAATTACACATATTATTACTTACATATTATATTATTATAATAGTAATATGAGTATCATAATAAACTTGTGCACGGACATAAAGCAAAGTACTAATGACGACCGTTATTAATCGCAACCTACTTTTTTTTGTAATCGCGAATCATATAGAAAAGCACTCATAAATAACCATATTTAATTAATTTTTCATACCATTATTAATTTCGTAACGAATCAGATGTTAAGGGTCATACTAGATTTGACTGGGCTGGAAGAGTAATAGGAGTAGTGAAGGGAAGTATGATAAGAAGTTCATCTCTCTGCTAACTGTCACACTAAGCCTGATCAACCCAGAAAGGGCGCTCATCTCATGAGACATCAGTCACTATATATTAATTATTATATAATAACTAGAGTGTTATAATAACTTTAATAATAACATTCGAGTTTGCATGGTAAGAGTTATAAGTACAGCGTATAGATACCTAATACCTTATTCTTCAGGAATATTATAACACAATATTATAATACTACAACAATAACAATGCATTTAATAGTATCCATAGCACTGCTCAAGCGTTTATTATAATAATAGCAACCCTGGATAATTCACACAGCGCCTTCTAATCCTAAGCTAAACAAGTCTCAAAAATATTATAAATATTTTTTTTAAATATCGTATATATACTATACTACACTGGTAAAAATAGTTATACTCAAGGATACAGAATACAAATGCTTGCAACATGCGAAGAATCGAACCCGCGACTATCAGAAGTAAAGCAATGTGCTAAATCGCTACTTCACCGAGGCCACCATTTAGGTGACGATTAATACTTTCCTGTCTCGTGAGCCGTCGTCAGTCCAAATCTAGTTTCATATAAAAAGTCATTATAAAGGGTAATGTAGCACAAAAACGTGATATTAGTATATCAAACTTAATTGTCATTTATGAGCAAAGTTTAAATAAATGAGGCAATATTAAACTAGTCTCGCACCTGCTAATGTTAAGTATAAAAACCTGTAGACAGATAGTTACTTCAGCCCGCTGGCGGCTATTTAACCAGGCATACTAATATACAAATTACGTAGCCAGCAGTAATTCAAAATATATATATTAATAAAACGTATCTTTGTATCTCTCTTTAGGATGTCTTATTATCACGGTTTCTTGTAGAGAATGCAGAGAGAACCTAATTGCCTATTATTAACCTTAAGTTCGAAGGTCTTTATCTTTACAGATAATTTTTGCTTCATCTACCAATCGACTTCTTTCATGAATACATATTGCATTGTGAGGTAGTAACAATTTAATTCTCGTTACTAACAATATTATATAAATGAATGAAATACAACAAATACAAAGAAATAAAGATAAAGATAAAAAAACACTTCAATCTCAATTATCATAATCATCATATCAATTTATTAATCTCAGAAGAAGAATTGACAGAGGTATCCCGTGTCGTATACACAAAAAAACTAGTACCAAAATTACAAAATGAGCAATGCAATGTCATTCCTCATAATAAATGCATTAAAAATACAATCGAAATTATAATTTGATCCTTTTTGAAGTCGGTACAGAAAGTGGCCAATGAAGTATCACACATTTTTATAATAAAACTCTACGATCGTGTTTTAATATGTTTACGATCGCTTTTTAAAATATTTTTGACAATGTATAAAGTGTCACAATCTTCACATTGTTGTTTTTACAGGTAGCGTATTGATTTTTAAATACTTAGTTGTATATTTACGAGAGGAGATAAAATATCTCCTACTTTGTCACGTCGCAAAACTGTCTGGCTAAAAATAATCTTAATACAAAGATGCACTTGATTGTTCTCTAACGATTTTTCATTCGTGTTTTTTATGTTTGATAATACCTAATTTTCGTCTTACTGTAATTGTTACCTATGCAATTGAGCTTCATTTTGCATATCCTTTCCTTTATGAAATTGTAATTTTTCCTACGATTTTTAATATTTTTACCTATGTGGGTGATATATAACATCAGAATATAATGTTATTAAAGTTCAAATGGTCATACAACAAATTAAACAAGACGTTTCCGGCATAATATGTCCGCAATATACAAGAATTGCTCATTTGATATTATTAAGTAAGATGAGGGTCGATAAAAAAACCCAACTGTTTTTCCTTATGCCTTCTGACTAATAACATTGACGTCATCCTGAAAAATGTATAAATCAACGAACTTAGGTACACACCAAAAATCGTAATCCTGTTACATACAGTTGAATAGATAAATAGACCGTCGAGCTAAACTATTTGACTTCAATTAAAAATCAATATATAATACTTATTTTAAATAGAAAAAAAACCTAAAATATTACTTTAAAAAAGTTGCTAATTGTAGGTAAACATATCGTGTGTATCGTAATTTGCAAAAATATTAAGTAACACATACATAAAATATATGTGTATACGTTTATCTTTTTTAGATCGGTTGAACTCAAAACCAATTAACAGTTTTCTTATATGTCCAACATGATAAGTCAAAATCTTATCAATTGTAAAAAAAAATTAATAAATTCAAATTTGATGAAGATTTCTAGTAAAATACATGTTAAAAACATATATTGAGAATATCCTCTCTTTGTTACTATTATAGCTTATAATCATGGTACAATCACTACCATTTCATTTGATAATAAACTGTATTAATATTCTGTTCAATGGCCTTAGCAACCACCTGTTGCCACGTGTAGTCCGTTAGCTGATCATCGATGCGGAATAGTGGGGTTCGAACCCGTCGGCTGTAACAATCTTCTCGCAAAACCTCTACTGTCAGCTTTGGCATATAATTCATTGTGCAAATAAACACTACTTTCTGATATTGTTATTTTTAATAGTAACAAGGCATTTAAGTTTCTAAAATTTTCGATATTTAATCATTAGTTTAGAAAGCGAATATCATTAATTTTTGCATATACACCATGACAGGTTTCTATCTTAAAAAGCTAAAAAGTAACTTAAGACTTTGTCATGTCTGTATATCCAATTATTCAAATCGATAATAAATTTCTAAAATAGATACATCCTTTTGTAGGGCATACTATAGGAATTAATATAAATATAATCTTATGACTAATATAACAGTAGTATTAAATAATATTTCTATTATAGTGTTTAAAAATAAATAAGTAGTTGCCATTATATTGTGTACTTTTCACTTCTTTTGTACAAGAACGTGGTTTGTGATTGCCTCACAGTAAGTAAACTTCGTTAGCAATTGTGTTAAGAGCACCAAAGTGGAATTATTCTGATATCCGAAAAAGTACTAATGTTGAAGTAGGTCTCTTAGTCAACATGATGTTAAACTAAAAATTATTATTCATTGCAAAAATATAATAAAATATTACATAATAATAATTATAAATCTCGTGTGTAATATAGCTATAATATATACAGGTATTGTTTTAAATTTATCTCCAAAATTCATATAATTTCAAATCTCTCAATCTTATTTTATCATTGGACTGGAGTTATTATAAATATGTATTATACATATTAAACATATACTATAATATATATTTATATTATAATAACACCAGCCATATTGATAACATACTACCTATTTATCAATTTTATACTCTATTTAAATAATTAAACTGCCGCTCCAGTCGTTTTATTACGTAATCATCAAATTATGAAATGGTTGTTTTAGCAAATTTCAAACGTATCGTAATATTTGCTACATTAATTAACGAGTTGGTAATTGATATGTTTAGTGAATAGCAAAGCGCATTTTAGTATTGGTTTTATTGCTATTCCTTTTATATGAATCGTTTAAAAACTCGTACATAGAGTAATGTTAAATGCTTTTATATGCAAAGAATATAATTAGTGGAAAATATATATTTTAGTAAATACTGCATATAATACTTTAGGTATAAATATAAAATAAATACATATAATTAAGGGCAAATGCTTTTACAATTTATCACTATAAATCGTAAATGGTACATGAAATGTCGTTCCAAT